TATAATTAGTATTTATTCATATATTATATTTTAAAATCAAAGAACTGCTAATCAGGATATAATTAAAGAAATAAGAGTTGATGTTCCTTTTGGAATAATCCACCAATTTCTCTAAATGAAACACTATCTACAGATTTGCATCGAAGCGTTTCTTATGATAGTGATTTTAATCACTGTCAGATATCATCTATACTTGTCCCATCTATGCCTCGTCCACACTGTGCCTCGACCCCACTGTGCTACCGTTTTTAATCAGACTATTGCTGTATCTACGCGGGGGACTCAAATCTAAAAAATGCATATAGAAAGTGGAACTTTTTTAACTTAAATTTTAAAAGTGTGCCGGAAGGTCTGACACTTTTATATATATATCTAAAATTAAAGGTAATGTAATATACATTATTAATTATATATAAAAAAAAAATTTGACCACTGGACTTGTCTTCGTGGTGAAAATAGACATCAAGGTTAATAAAAAAAATAACGATTTTTGTAAAATAATTCTTTTTTATATTATTAACTAAATAATACTATAACTTTTTGGAAAATGTATGGTTCAGTACATTATTTTTTATATAGATGCTTGATGTCTTTACCTATCATTTGGTATATTTTTTTTATATATCTGACCCTTTATGTGACCACAGGAGGAATTTTAAATGACAACTTTTTCATAAAAGTTACTTTTACACTGAACTTTTGAAAGTGTTCCAGGAAGTCTGACACTTTTATATATATCTTAAATTAAAGATAATGTAATGTACTTTATTATGAAAAAAATAAAAATTTGACCTCTGGACTACATCGTTTCATGGTGAAAATGGCTACCGAATGCTATTTTTGTGTGAAAATTCTCGATTTTAATATTTACATTTTTAACTTTATAATGCTATAACTTATTGAAAAGTCTATGGATCAACACATTTTTTTTATGAGAAATAAAATTGTTCAATAATCCCTCTTTCATTCTACATAATTTATCTTAATCAGGAGATTAATAAGGAACTAGCAGATCATGTAGCTTTATTATATGTAACTAAAAGATATCAAATTTCATTTTTCTAACATTGCATATATTTTTGTAGTACTCGATTGAGTTATGATAGATCAAACATTCGACATATATACTTTTATTAATAAATAACAATAGTAGGTAATAAAGTATACTTTATAATATAACTGAACACTATATTTTCTAAAATTAAAGCAATTTTATTTGAAATGTATTAAACACTTTAATATCAAATATTTCAATAAATTCATCCTTCTTATAAAACAAACATTTATTGTATAAACATAATTTATTTACAATGTATATCAGAAGACTGAATTTTTACAATTTTTTTTTTTTTTAAGCACAGCCATCGGGATCTTATACTATCTACAGTTCTCTTTGGTAGAAATCCATCTGATACGAAATCCCTCCAAACCGCTTTACCTCCATCTTTCACGTTATTGTCTTTTGCATAATTCAATATAACTTTGTCTTCCGATTTTGTATATACTTTGGTAGATCCTCTTGTATGGGTTTTGTTTTAAGTTTCTGTAAGTGAAAAAAAATTCAATTAAATACAAAACATTGTTGAAAAAATGATTAGGCTTTTGTGCATATTACTTAAAAATATTACAATAAAAATCATTGAAAACATTAATATTCCCTAACTTCTATAGCAATTACCTTTAAATGTCACGATTTTTTTTTTAATTAAAAAAAATTATTTCATTTATGCCCCACGATTAAACAATTCTCGGAATTTCCTCGAAGTTGGAGGACTTTTAAGATCAACTTCATACTTTAGCTTCGAAAACATTCATTTAAAATTCCCAGGCAATGCAATTTAAACTATTAAACCAATTTTAATTCATTAATAAAAATGTGTATTTTACTACTTCGTCTAAAATCAAACAAACAATAATAAATCTTTAATTCAGTGACTCCGAAAACTAGTTGGTTTATGACAAATACTTGATATACAATGACTTACTGCTAATTTTGATGCAGAAGGTGGCCGGTCTGATTTGGAATCAATTGCATTGTTTTCTACACTATTTATTCTGTTGGATTTGAAACTCTGTTAAACAAAAAAATAAACAAATGATTTTTTAATAAAAACTACATTTTTCTGATTATCTTAGTCTAGTCCCCTGTATATTTTTGTCGAAAACACACATATAATTCACTGAACATTTTAAATAACTCCCCCCCCATTTTGATTATATTTCTTTTTTATATCTATCTTTAACATAAAAATTAACTTTTCATTAAACATTAATGCGTAAAAACTTACCGCATCATTACTAATGGACAACCTTAAAGTACTTTCGATACAGTCTCCTGCTTTGGTTGGAATTGGTTTGCCCATTATCATCTGACAGAAAACAAATTTTAGGTGGTCAATTTCAGCCCTCATTACATTGATTTTCTTCTCAAGTATGGCAATTCTTTGCTTGTCGTCAATCCATTGTTCATCATCATTAGGGACGATATTACTTAATTCCTAAAAAATACAATCTAATATAATAAAATCCTAAAAAAAAATCAATAGAAACAGCAATTCGAATTCGACACTTCGCAATTGGAAATAAGAACGACAAAACCGATTTGGTTGGGTTGTGTTTAAATAATTAAACTTACTTTCTCTGTAACACCCAACTCAACTCTGTATTTTCTCAATTTGTACTCCATAATTAAATAAAATCAACAAATCCACATCACATAAATTTTATTATACATGTCTCCCATACTGTTATTAATAAACTATTATTTAAAATGTATATTCTTATTAACTATTAGTATTTTTCTAAGGAAATATTCATTCATTTAAAACTAATGAAAATGCAGTTTTAAATTACTAAAATGTAACATTATTTAAAAATAATCGGGATAATTACTAAAATCATAACAAATGAAAATAACAATTATTGATATTCTGAACGAATACGTCAACATAAAACATATAAGTAATAGAAGTTTAAAGAACATATCGTCAATATTTCGAATAAAATAAATGTAACAAACATTGATTCAGTGAAAATGAGAGTATCAAAGAAAGCAAAAACATAGCCTTTAAAAAAAAAAATGCAAATGCAAAAATTTTAAATACGATATTTCAATAATTTGTTGGTGCATTAGTGTTTTCTTAATGCTATTAACGATTACGGTTCATTATATAACTGACGATTGCAAACAATACTATCTACTTGAAAAACAATTGTAGGAAAATAAACAACAAAAAAATTAGTTGGTGTCGTGAAACACCCGGTAAGTACGAACTTTTATCGGCTAAAATAGTAGTAACATAATTTGCTAACAAATGATAAATGTTTCGTAATTTTTTTTTTTTTGCTATCTATTTGAAATTGGCCTATAGGTTTTTAAGAATGGTATATTGTAAAATACAAGTTGAGGCGTCTAGGTACTGACCGTTTTTTAGTCAAAAACAACCCGTTTTTGTTCCATTAGTACGACAAAATTACTGATGCGATAATAATTTAAAAAAAAAAATATACTCAGCATCATGTCACTTGAGTATCAATCAGGCAACTTTTTTAAAATAATGATTTTTTTTACTTTTAAATACGGTTAACATTTTCATCGTACTGATTGAATGAAACAGTTAGTTTTGCACTTCAACCTAATTATTTTCAAACAAAAGCTGTTAAATGTGACATGCTATTTCGCGTATATGCATTATCCACAGCAGCTATTTTATTGCCCATCATTATTGTCAAAAACAATAATAAAGATGTATCAACATGGAATAAATGGTGTCCAAAAAAAATCTGGTAAGTACGTGTATATAAGAATAATTTTCTTACACTTTCTTTGCTTCGATAGAAAGCTGAAAAGATATTACTTTTACTACGATGAGTTTTTTGTTTGTGTATGTTCATATCAATACATATCTGAACCCATTGGACTATTATTGTTCAACGATACGTCCAAGGTTCAAGACATACATATTATTGATGTATTCAGCACTAAAACCTTACTAATACTCCTTTAAAGCTGACACAATGTGTTTTCCTCACCCGCACACTATGTTATTTACCTTGAATTAACACTAAATAACTTATACATAACAACTTTTTATTCAAACTCATTGGTAATTTGCCTGATCATCAAATATATAAATCTTTACATTAATTAGAAAAGAAAATTTTAAACTACATCAAATAAATAACAGTAATGATAGATGATGATATATAGACTACATTAGGTACAATATGAGATGATTAAAATGCAAGCGGTATAATTGATATTTCAAAATAAAAAAAAAAATGATTTCTGTGCACTATCAGACTGGAAATTAATAGTTCTTTTTTGGTATATATGACAATTGGTGAAAGTGTAAAAAATAATTGAGTATGGAAAAATGTGGCTACGTTTAGAAAAGTTTTGAATCTTTTATCTTTATGAAACCATAATAATGTCGTTTTATTTATTATAATAAAAATTCATTAAACGATTCATTATAGATGTCTAGTGTCGTAACACAGGAAAGAAAAACTATGTGTGACTGTGCGAAGATGAATATGAGGAGGTGGTGCCTGCTGTCTAGGTATTCACGTGCGTGTTGTCGTACAGCAGTCACCGTGCTCGGCTGACACTCCAGGTTAGCTGTGGGTGTCGAAAGGCTGTTGTTATAGGAAGGGAGAATAAGAGTAACACCTAGGTATGAGGTGCAGACGAAGTGCAAGACACAAGTACTCCAAAGAGAAAACGGGGTAGCCGAGTATAAGGTGCAGACGAAGTGCAAGACACAAATACTGGGCGTACCAGATAAGGAGTATAACAAAGTACGAGGTGCAGACGAAGTGCAAGACACAAGTACTCTGAAATGTCGAAGAAAAGAGTATATAGGTTAGAAAAGGAATAAACAAAGACTTTACTTTAAACAGTAAGCCGGACAGCGACAACCGAGTACTGAGACTGATGAATGACACAAGGCACTGGAGTCGACTGACCACGATGGTCAGGTCTATTGGGTTTTTATAATAATTACACTTATTGCCGATTTGGCAATAAATATTATTTGTTAATTCATCAGTCTCAGGCAGCGGATGTGCTGTCTGTATTTTATTAAAATAATTCTCACAATTATGAAAACGTGACACCATCACACTAGTAATTTTTTTAATCAGATTACTTTGTCATTACATAACAAGAATATCCAAAAAATGTATTATACTCGTGATATTGTGTACATATTACTAATTAATCCTAATGTAATATCCATATACGTATAGGTGTTTAAAGAGATACTCATATTAAAAATACAAATTGAAATCTGATTAGAAATAATGATAATACGTATAAATACTGTATCGATAATGGTTCCGTATATAATAGTATAACAATTTCAGACGTTAGTAAATAATAATAATAATAATAAATGCTTGTTATTTTAATATTGTATAAATTTCTTAATTATTATCGAGTATAAAGAAAAGTGTCGTTTAAACGCCAACGATCGAGTATAAAAACGCTACTATTGTTATGCACTCATTTATCCTAAGTCGGTTACTATAATAGTAATAATAAAAAAATGTAGACAATAAGTAATATGTATTACATGATAATGATAGAAAATCATGTATATATTGTAACGTGACAAAAGTATCTTGTTATTTTTTTGTCTATTTGTATATATATATATATATTTGTTTTGAGCCGAATGCGGACTGCGACGGCGTTTGTCAGTAATATTATTATGATAAGGTATTGTGATTTGTTTATGCGCGTGCGAGATAGTCAGCTGTGTACTACTTCAACCGGTTAATGGACGGCATTTGTGTGTACATTCACCCCTCTCCTTTCCTATCTTGAACGTCATTTGCACTGCTCACCGCATACATTGTCGCCTTATTTAAATTGTTCTTAGTAATTTCCGGCACTGGGTATTAGGTTTTTTTTTTTGACCCCTACTCCAAAGGCTAGCCGTGTTGTCGCCAACAGACCGCCGGGTCAAACGTCGGACGGGTTGTCGGAAANAAGGCTAGCCGTGTTGTCGCCAACAGACCGCCGGGTCAAACGTCGGACGGGTTGTCGGAAATTAGCCATCGTCGGAACTGGTACGCTAATTTTCGTCTGTAGCGGTCTTTTTTGTTGTGTGCGCTGCAACTTTTTTCATTTTTTTTATATATATTTTCGTGAGTGTCCGTTATTTTTTTATAATGTAATTATTATTTATATTGGCGTCGGCTAAACCTGCCTCCATATTCGTTAGCCCTTCGGGGCTGGTAATGCATATTTTTGTTTTAATGTTGTTGAGCCAGTTATTTTTTTAGTGCGCCGTGCCATAAGCACGTGTGGCGAATTTTTTTTATATTTTTTTATATAGTTTTTTTTTGTAGGTGTCCTTATATTTTTTTTATTTAGGTCCCGCAACATGACAGGCG